GGGGGGGGGGGCAGGAATGGGACTATTATAAAATTCTGTGGGAGGATATATCAATTGATACTTTTTTTTGCAAGAAATAGCTTGTTTATCTGGGATACTTCAAAGTAAAAAATACCGCTGGTGAATTATGTTTCCAGGGAGATGACATATTACCTTCCAGAAACATGTCACGCACTGAAGTTATTCTTCAGACTGAGTGAGTAGAGGAAAACATGAAAAAGGACTTCTTTGGCATGACACACTCTCTAGCAACATTGTTACATAAGGAATAAAATAAAACAGAATAAAATAAAATACAAATACTTTTTAAAGACATACACAAAGGCCACATTGGTACTGCACATTTTTCAAGTGCAAAGTCACTAGGTCTTTTGAATCAAGCACTTTTTTTTTTTCCCCAATACACAAGTTATCCTTCAAAAGGAAAAAATACTTTGGTTGTGTGTAAGTTGTAAACACATACCTCTCTTGCTCATACTAAAATAACTTCTGAAGTCTCATTACTTTTACATTCCCAGATAAAAGTAACTTCTCTTAGTTTCTGAACAGCCTCCTCAAAGTATTTTCACACCTCTTTTGACACCTAATTCATACCATGCTATCTTCTTCTCAGGAAGGAGAGGATATCATGGGCTGACATCAATTTGCAAGATTAAAATTGATTCAGGGTAAAAATTCTCACTATGTTTCAAACTGCCATTTCAATGAGAAAATGGGTCACTTCATCAAAAGAAAATTCTGTATCAAAATTGTTATAGATCATGACTCACATCTCTGTATGCTACTAGCCTATGGCCAACTGAGAAGAGAACGCTCAAGCAAGATACGGAGCTATACTTCAGTACATATGTATAACTACTTTTTCAGCAAAATGATGTTAAATTTAAAAGAGGTTATTCTGTCCAAGTGGCCTCCCCTCTATATTTCCAAATATAGACAAATTATCTTGATGATAATTTGGTTACAACAGTAGCCATTTCTTCCAGAGACTACAGAAAAGGCCCCCCTATGTAGTCAAAGTTACAAGCCAGGTAGAATAAATTTCACTTGACTTTGTGGCACTTAAATATCTGGAACTTTTGTAATTTTTGTATGCCTCATAAAACTGTTTTTAACCTTGTTCTTCAGCTGAGGTACTATTCCTGTAATATATTAACTTCTAAAAACTGTATTTACAAATATACATAGCAAGGTTTATTTCAAAATATATTTCCAAACAGCAGGTTCCTGTTGAACAAAAAAAAGCTGAGCTGCCGCAGCTCTGTTATGCTTTTGCATCTTCCAACCGCTCAGAGGGGGGAAAAAAAAGTTGTTTTAAGTGTTGTGGGGCTTTGGTTTTGGTTTTAAATCATGGCTCTCAACATCTTTGAAGCAAAGGAGTTTCATGCTGCTTCTTTCCAAGGAGGAAAACATGACTCTGCATCAGAACACAACAGACGTCTCTCCTGACATCAGAGGAAAGATGTTGCTAGCCGCTGTGATGTGACTGGCAATGGGGTAATTGACAGAAGTTTAATGGCGCTGTCTAGCCCAACAGAGCCGTGGGAGTCAGACTAGCTGTCTCTGCACATCTGTTGTGGATATAAGCATTTGAGAACAATCCCTGCTTTCAGCCCAGATACTAACTCATTCAGTATATTCATCAAAAAAAGCAGTTGAATCCAATGGCTTTCATTTTACAAAATGATAGATCCATACTCCCTCATGACTACATACATGAATAGTTCCAACTTCTGAACTTCAGATGGATTACTACCTCCCTCTCTGCAAAGGGTCACTCTGTGCAAAGCATACAGCCACAGGAAACAAACCATAGGAAATTAGCTTATCTATAGAGAACGTTTTTGAATTGATAACAACTGAGTTGCAAAACCCACAAAAATTCAAGTTTATGCCATTAAAATGTCTGTAACTAACTGTCTTGGTGAAAGGAAATCCATCATGGATACAAACCACATTTCTTTCTAGTAAGTGAGAGCTCTTTATAATCATTATTTAGGCTATTATAAAGCTAATCCCCACCAGGGGGAGCAGAGTTCTCCCGCTCAGAGGCACTCTCAGCCCAATTTGGAAGTCACAGACAGCATCCTGGCTCATTTAACACACGATACAGCTGTCCCTGAGTTAGTCCTAAAATTATACATACTAAAACGATTTTCAAGTTAATTTTATTATTCAGATTATCACTAAATGTGAAAGTTGTAAACTCCCAGTCAGTAAAGATATTTAAAGGAAACTTGGTTGCAAAGCTTCTAAAGAAAAGCAACAATAATTTACCATTTATCATAGAATCATAGCATAGTATAGGTTGGAAGGGCCTTTAAAGGTCATCTAGTCCAACACCCCCCCACCCCCACCCCCCCAGCAATGATTTAAAGTCAATTGTACAATAATCAAGACTGACGTGTGATGAAAAGCATGAATAACACAGGTAATTTTTTTAAATTCGCCGCCTTTTTTTCCCCACCAGAAGCATACACCTGGTTCCCATTACCAAGCCTTTTTTCCCATTTGTGAAAGATGGACATTTTCATTTTAAAACTTATGCTGACACATCTTTCAAGAGCTAGTGTTTTAACAGTTTTATCAATTACTATTAAGACTTGAGGAAATTAGCTGAGTTGTCAAAATTAAAATTATATCTGTTACCATAAATGGTCTTTAATCTAGTCCTCAGTAGATGGGAAACACACCACAGAGATCATAGAAGTTAGCTACTAAGACACATTTCAACAACAGTTTTCTCTTTTGCTGCCTACTTTTTCTTTCCCTATGAATCTAAGGGTGCATTTTATTTTCTTTTTTTACCATGGTAGTACAACTATTCAAACCTTTCTTTTAAAAAAATACCGGCAATAGAAAAATGAAGCATTATCTTAGTTAATCAGTAGAAATTTTGTATCAAGGAAGCTATCTTTAAAATTAGTTACTTTTCTTCAAAATTAAATGAAGCACTCATTAAAAAATAATTAGTATGTACAACAATCACTTGAAAGCCTATCTCCTGCTATAGGACATTTCTACTGGGCGGCAATCTGGACTGCATTATAAAACACTATTATACATGAACAGATGGAAATCATAAAATGATATTTAGCTACAGATTTCCTGTCAGAAACTTATATAAAAAGAAGGGGGGGAAATATGTTCAACATTTTTCATTAGCCAACATCAAATCACTGAAAAAAAATAAATCAGAGGAATCCATGCAATGCCTATGACACAGCAACCTATTTTTAATCCATACTTTTTAAAGTTCCTGGCACATAAAATAGGCATAAATAAGACTATGTTTTCACCTTTAAGCACACAATATAGGATTGTAACCAATAAACTACCCACCAAAGAACACATATGAAAATGCATTTCATTCATAGTTAAAAATTAAGACTTCGCAGGTTTGAATTCTTAATTTTGTCTGAACATCAGTAGAAGTCAGTGAAGCCCCACTGAGCTTCACAGATTTGTCAGAAGAGCTGATTATGCCCAGAAACGTATTAAACATTCCCACTATAAACTCTAATGAACTATCTTGGCTAGAATAGCAAACACATTGTTTGTTTCATTCAGATATAAAAGTTACACAAGTTGCAAAGATTTAAGGTGCACAACATCAACTTAGTATGAAAATAAACTGCTCCCTTATCTTAAGGGCAGATTATTAACAGCTGTCGCAATCAATACAACTACCCTAAAATACAGTCTTGTTTTGAATTACACTTAATCAGAACATTTTGCTTCAATGCCAGGACTTTAAAAAAAAAGAGTAAATATTAATGTTATTAAAGCACAATAGAGAGATCATTATAGAAAGGTTATAGTAAAAATCCAGTGTCAGAATAACAGTTGCTGAACATACCATGCAAGAGGAATGTGAGGGTTTGAGAGATAAGATACAGATGTGAAGGTTGAGGCACTCCTTAAAATATTTAGCATACCTTATTTAATAAGATTGTTCTCAGTTTATTGTTCAACATAAATTAGTCATCAGAGTTGTATTTCACAACTGATAAACTGATAAAGCTACCTGAAAACTAGAAAATCTAAAAAATATTATGTCATCAAGAATTCAGAACACATTACGTACTACAAGACTGTTTCCTTCAGCATGTAAGTCAACAGTAGCATAAATTGTTAGTCTGTACATTGACTGAATTTGCTATTTTTCTTCCTAGACTCACCAATGAAAGCTTTTATCATTATTTTTCCATATATTCAGCTTCTTTCATTTCACTCCTCTTTCTGTATAAACACAATACAAGCGAAGTAACATATAGGGGAGGAACATATAGTACTTAAAGAGGGCTACAGGAAAGATGGGGAGGGACTCTTTATCAAGGAGTGTAGTGATAGGATGAGGGGTAATGGTTTTAAACTGAAAGAAGGTAGATCTTGATTAGATATAAGGAAGAAGCTCTCTACTGTGAGGGTGGTGAGACACTGGCACAGGTTGCCCAGAGAAGCTGTGACTGCCCCCTCTCTGGAAGGGTTCAAGGCCAGGTTGGACGGGGCTTTGAGCAACCTGGGTTAGTGGCAAGTGTCCTTGCCCATGGCAGGGGGGTTGGAACTAGGTGATCTTTAAGGTCCCTTCCAACCCAAACCATTCTGTGACTATGATTCCTTCTGTTTCAACGGTCTTAGATAAACCAACCTTCATCAACCAACTGATCACCTCCAAAAGGATTTAAATAACTGAGGGCCTTACTATTAATTACTCCATGCTAAAAACAGTTAGGGCTTCAAGTACATCCAAGACTACATTCTTAATTCCCCAAACAATGTGGTGAATTAAGGAGGTCAAAGTACATTAAACACGGGGAGGAAGGAAAGGAATGGAAAAGAAAAAATAATATATAAGTTGTCTGTCAATTACAATATGCTGTATTACTTCACACTCTACTAAAGAGCAAACTTTGTATCCAAAAATTCTTATTTGTACATATAGACACATACTGTTGCATAACAGTTCAAAAAGTCTAGGTTATTTTGGTGAGAGCTGGGAATAGAGCCTATTACTAATAGAAAGTAAACCTGGCAGCTCACAGCTATCTCAAGCTTACCCTTGTGAAGGGCACCAGAATTCTGCAATATATGTCTGGACACAGTTAATAAGGCTAGTCATTTATAGTTTTTTATAGTCATTTATATGTTCTCCTTTTATTTTACATAATGCAGCTGAATAACAACTCTCCTCTTAACCCAAACTGGAGAGGAGTGTCAGGCTTTATTGAAAACCACCATTAAAACACAACCAAAGTTCTAGCAAGTGACGTTAAAGAATAAACAGCCAGAAAACCACAAAAAAAAAGTGGGAAATAATCACAGAGAAAAGAAAAATATATCCCTGTATAGTACAACAAAAGAACACCAGACACCCTTGAGGGGTAATCAGGTGCACTGAATGTAAAGAAATATTGCTAGTTCCATACAAAAACCCCAGCAGTTTCAGAAGCTTTTAAAGTTTTTTAGGTAGCTTTTAAAAGACTTGAATGAGAACGGGCTGAAATCAGGAAGCAGTGAGAGGCCTGAGGATCCCATCCTCCAACCATCAGGCTTAGAGTCAACTGCCTCAGCCTTTTTTCTGTGGTTGTTTTATCAAAGAGTGAACACAAATGCTTGTTTATAAAGCCTCAGGAGTTTGAGACGGAATGGACATTTGGCTTTCTCTATACAGAAGGATGATAGTCTTCATCTATCTTTTTATATGTAAGGCAGTTGAGATAACATTAGGTCTTGTCTTAATGGATTCTGTTTTAGTATCTTCCAACTCAGAGGTAATATAACATGACATACAAAAGGCTCATGAAGCAGGCTGAAAACACTGGGGACATCACTTTAGCTCCCTTAAACTCCCTCCAAGCGCAAGCTTCTGCTCTACAGAATGCACCTATTTCTATAAAAATAAAGACATTTCTTTGCCCATTTATTAGAGACTGAAAAAAGAACCAAGTATACAGAGCCACTGATCTGTTCAGAGAAAGTATACTAGTATTCAACAATACATCAAAGTGTGGAACCAGAAGATCTTTCAATACACTTGGTATTTGTGCTGGCAGACCAAAGTAAACGAGTTTTTTGATTGCAGGCCTATAAACTAAAGGGGAGGAATATATCATCCAACTCCTTTCTTCTCAAGGCTCTGCCAGTGGGAAGACAGAGTATTTATTTCTTTGGGGGGAAAAAAGATCAAGTACTCAATCATAGTACTCCCCCAAAAAAACCCAGCCAAACCACAAAACAAAATACCCCCAAAAAACACCCTGCCACCAAAAAAATCCTTACTAGTATACAATTATGCCAAGTACTTTGTAATAATGTGCACAGCTGGGAGTTTTAGGTTACGATGGCCCTATATGTGTTCTGTTCAGAGCTATTAGTGTCTTCTCAAACATACCTTGACTCCCCTTCACTAGCTTCATTTTAAGTAGCAATCCTCTAGCTCTTCAGCTTCCAGGGTCAAATCTCCCCAGTATTCCCTAAACTCTCCTGCTTCTTATTGAACACACTGAAGCTCCTACTGCTCTGTCTTAAATACTCCAAGCATCCAAGTTGCTGTTGATGTTGCCTAGTTTCCATTTACAATTAAAAACAAGTAACAGGAATAAAGAAGTTAAACACTCACAGATAGAAACATTACTATTCTTATCTAAGAAAATCCACACTCTATCTGTTGATGAAGAAGCAGTCCCCAGATTAAGGTAATGGCAGTTGCAACATAGCTACCCCAGGACAAACACACCTACAGAAAATAAACAAACAAAAAAAAATGCTTCTTTGTAGTTAAGAGTTTTGTTCTACTTTGTGTTTCACAAATTTTATCCCATAGCCAACATATGCTACCTCACCTTTAATTTAAAAATGTTTCATTACATACTTATCTTTGGTAATACATGGATGCTTCCTGAAACGATTTCACCTTTGCTCTGAAGCAGCTGTGAACACTAGACAAATAATAATCACTTGGAAATGTTTATTCTTAAACTCTCTTATATATGTCAAAATCTGGATAATCACTACACTGTGACAAATAGAACTATTTGGGTTTTTTTCCGTCATTTTTGTCTTCTGCTCCATGGAATATTTTTAGAGACTTATATCCCAAGCCAAGTTAGCCATATGAATTTTTAAGCCTATATTTTTCTTTAAAAAAAAGAAAAAAGAGAATGCAAAATTCTATACAGAATAAAACATTAATATAGCAAGTATGCTGATGACTAATATATAGACTAGATGCTTGAAACTGGTACTTCAATCATAGTTTCCCTATTCCATAAAATGAAACCAACCCTTGATGACAAAAAAATACAAAAATGTCAAATTAAAAGAATTTTTCAAGTTCCAGACATGTAATATTCTGCTGCTCGCACTGGTGGTCTATAATTATGCAGCACAGATATAGCATACTTATGCAAATGAAACACGCTAAGGAATCAATTTCTCTATCCTTGAAGTGCAGAGACCCAGTGGAATATCTAATGACATCAAAAACAGAAATTCCTCCAAGTTGAAAAAATTTTGCCAGTAAAAAAAAATTACATAGTGCTTATGTATATTTGAAAAAATGAGTTAAAGACACTAAACTTCTGATTTCAAAGTGAAAATAATCACTCTTCCTTCCCTCACAAGGAGAGTCCGTTGTCAATATCTATTTTGGAAGCAGCTCTTACTCATCAGCTTGCAATGCTCTTCCCTGCACTGAATGAATTTAAAGATTACTCAGACCCTTCAAAGGTTCACAACTGTGAATTGCTAATTCAATTCCTTTCAGAAGGAACCTGGTCTATCAAAACACAGCAGTTCCTCCTCAAAACAAAATCTTCACATTACACACCATATTCTGATTATACAACTTCAGCTACTATGTACACTTGGTAAACCAAACTCTCTGTAATTTCAAAACCAGTAACTGTCTTTACAACGCTGGTCATTAAACCTGTGCTTTACTACCATAGTGTCTGCTTCTATCAAAGTATTTGCAGTAAAACTAACAGCAGATGTCACAAACTTTTGTTTGGTTTTCCTAAAATTCCAGATGTCAGTACAATATCTGTCAGCTCCTTTGCACTCTCAATTATCGTGGAATCATAGAATGCTTTGGGTGGAAGGGACCTTAAAGCTCATCCAGTTCCAACCCCCCTGCCATGGGCAGGGACACCTTCCACCAGCCCAGGTTGCTCAAAGCCCCGTCCAACCTGGCCTTGAACCCTTCCAGAGAGGGGGCAGCCACAGCTTCTCTGGGCAACCTGTGCCAGTGTCTCACCACCCTCACAGTAATTTATTCCTTCTATCTAATCTAAATCTACTCTCTTTCAGTTTAAAACCATTTGCGGCAGGTGCACCTGCCCAATGAAAATAGTACTTCTTGGCTGCTGAAGTGTAGCAGCTCCAGACTGCCTCTGTTCTCAGGGCCTCACAGTAGTTGGGGTCTTTGGCCAACGGGAGCTGCTACTGATCACAGGTCAGATTCAGCCTGGCTGTAAATAGAGTCCCTTGGGGGAGCCATTTGGAGCTCGTCCCCTGGAGCAGTAAACTTTGGTTGAGGACTCTCCCCTTGGGTCAGGATGCGCCCAAGGTAACTCCTCAAGGTAACTTGGGCTGGGACATTGCCCTGAGCAGGTCCTCAAAGTTGAGAGTCCTCACTTGTTAGGTGAGTGATAGAGCATTTTGGGTTGTCATTAAACCCTAGAAAGGTGTTCTGTTCTTCTCACAGACATTCGAACCTGTAATTTGCAGAGGGCTAGTTAATTGTGTTGACAATAAATTTTTAAATTTTGATGGCTGGTTGCTTATTTGAGAGCCTCCATAACACCATTACATCTTGTCCTATCACTATACGCTCTAATAAACAGTCCCTCCCAATCTTTCCTATAGGTTCCCTTTAGGTGCTGGAAGGCCACCATAAGGGAGATGCTCCAGCCCCCTGATCATCCTTGTGGCCCTCTTCTGGACTCACTCCAACAAGCCTAAGTCCTTATGTTGGGGGCCCCAGAGCTGGACACAGTACTCCAAGTGAGGTCTCGCAAGAGTAGAGGGGCAGAATCACCTCCTTTGACCTCCTGGTCACACTTCTTTTGATGCAGCCCAAGATACAGTTGGCTTCCTGGGCTATGAGTGCACATTGCTGTCTCACCGTCAGTTTTCATCCACTAGTACACGCAAGTCTTTCTCCTTAGGGCTTCTCTCAATCCACTCATCACCCAGCCTGTATCTGTGCTTGGGATTGCCCT